ACGGTCCTGTAAGTAACCCCAGGGAATTCTTAGGTTTGCCAAGCTAGACTTGGGTGGAGTCATTTTTGTGGTTTGTTCGCAGTATCCTACCTGGGTGAAAATGTTTATTCACATCTCCTCAGAAAGTCACACAATCATGATGAACGTTTTCCAAGCATTTCTTGCTATTTGTACTTTTCTTGAGAAGCGTCTATTCATTTATTCATTTACTCTTTATTAGTTGTAAGTTTTTGGAATTTAGATTTTTTTTTAGTACTTTTTATGTTCTGGATATGAATCCCATGTGAGATGAACGGTTGGCAAAGATTTCCACCCATTCTATAGAATGACTCTTCTGCTGGTTGTTTACTTTCTTGTGTAACTTTTAAAAATATTTTATTTACCATTTTTATGTATATGAATGCATTGCCTGCATGTATTTAAGTGCACATGTGTCATGCAGTGCCTACAAAGGTCAAAAGAGAGCGTCAGATCCCCTGGAACTGGAGTTACAGACGGTTGCTAGCCACCATGTGGGTGCTTGGAATCGAACCCAGGTCCTCTGTGTAACTTTTTTTGGTGCATGTGTATGTGGGCCATGTGTATATGCATGGTCCGTGTAGTATGTGCACGTGAGGTGTGGGTACACCTACTCATGTACACACACAGGGAAGACAGAACAGGACATTGGGTGTTTCCTCTTTCATGCTCTGTCTTACTGCCTTGAGATAGCATAGCATCTCTCACTAAACAGAAAACTTGCCATCTCCATTAGGTTGGCTGGTGGGTGAGCTCTTGGGAATCCACCTGTCACCACTCCACTAATGCTGGTATTATAGGCATGCATAGTATGCCTGGTATTCTTTTTAACTTGGATGCTGGAGAGTCAAACTTAGGTCATTGTGCTTGGCGAGCAAGTGTTTTTACCCAGAGAGCTATCTCCCAAACCTGCTGTGTAGCTTCCTAATATCTTGTAAACCATTTGTCAATTCTTGCTATTATTTTGCATTCAGAAAGCCCTCAGGTATGACGATAACTTGAAGTGGTTTTCCTATATTTTTTACTGAAGTTTCAAAGTTTCAAGTCTTACATTAAGATCTTTGAGTTGTTTTGTATTGATTCTTGTACAAGGTAAGAGATTCAGGTCTAGTTTCATTCTTCTGCGTGAGCATGTTGCCTCTCCCATACCATTTATTGAAAGAGCTTTTCTCCAACATTTTGGTACTTTTGTCTAGAATCAGGTTTCTGTAGTTTTACGGGTTTACGTCCTGTTTTCCAGTGGTCTACATATGTGGTTTTGTGCGAGTATCATGCTACCTGTGTTCCTATGGCTCTGTAGTAGAACTGGACATCAGGTATTATGAGTTCTCCGAAATGAATCCAAGCTCTAGGCAGCAAGAGAAATTTGTCTCATTCACTGCTGGAGCCCCATTGCTTGGTGCCACACTTTGGAGGCAGGAAGTGCATAATACATATGTAATGTAAGATGATTGTTTTTACATTTGAGGCGAAGAACCAGAAGAGAGGAAAGGGAATGCCCTAGGGTATTATGGGAGGAAAGTGAGATTTTATAGTATAGTACCTCAATTTTAAAGGAGAAAGCTATCAAAGTAAAAGAGGGAAAAAACAGGGAACGGCATGGGGAAGCTGAGGTAGGGAGAACTACAGTTGGAGAATTCTTGTTGGATAATTTGAGCATGAAGTATTGCTGTCTATTCAGGGTCTCAGAGAGAGTGGTGACTAGAGGAAACTTACTTATTGTAGTCAAGTGAAGAGATTGTCTAGGACAGCAGTAAGGGCCTGCTGTTTTCTAGCCAATCAGAATGGTCTTTGATACACATATTTAAATGTTGGGATGACTTTTATAAAGAAACATAAACTGGACTAATGACTTTTAATTAACTCCAGCAAAACTATGTCTTCCTGTGTCTTGTGATCTGGGCACCTGATCTCTTTTCCTTAACAACCTCAATTTTGGTACTCTACCCCAAAAGTTAATGAATGAATGAATGAATGTGGGTATGCTTGGGAATTAACATATCAGAACAATGAAAGCAAGTGCACCCATCTTCCATTGCACACCTGAGATTGGGAAGGACACATGACTATGGGTGAATGGGACATTCTAGAACTAGGGATGAAAAAGTGTTGATAAAATTCCTTCTGGAAGGTTCAAACAATGTCTGGCCCCCTCCTTCCTTGGGTTCCTCTAACAAAGCAAGGTATGATTCCACCAAACTACAGTTTGGAAAACCAGAGAGTTTATTTGGGCTTACTTACAGAGCCGATGGGTGAGGGGTTACCTACAGGAGTGTGGGTGCTCCCCCCACCAAGGCCGCCCTAGAAAGTCTCCATCCAGGCATGGATCATGCATGACTTTCTGAATCATGACTTTCCAACAGCCATATGAAAGAGAGAGAGAGAGAGAGAGAGAGAGAGAGAGAGAGATCCTCCCTATGGCTTCTTCCATTTGTATACCTGTCCTAGTTTGTTCTTCATTGCTGTGACAAAATACTCTGACCAATACCAACTTGGGGAGGAAAGGGTTTACTCAGCTTACATCTCCCAGGTCGCAGTTCATCAGGGAGCCCAACATAGGAACTCAGGGCAGGAACCTGGACGCAGGAGCTGGAGCACAGGCCATGGAGGAACGTTGCTTACTGACTTCTCCCCTGGTCCCTGCTCAGCCTGCTTTCTTATGCAACACAGGCCCACCTGCCCCAGGGTGGGACCACCTATAATGGGCTAGGCCCTCCCACATCACTTATCAAAAAAGATGCCCCTCAGACACGGCCACAGGCCGGTCCAATAGAGGCAATTCCCTAACTGAGACTCCCTCAACCCAGGTGTGTCAAGTTGACACTAAAGCTATCCAGCACAATGCCCTTAGTCCCTCACCCTCATGTAACTAGGGTTGACTGGTTGATTGGGAGGTATGACTGAGTCTCCCTGACCCTCCTTTCTTATGGAGGGTAAATAGTCAACAAGTTTTGGGATGATCCTAAGTCATTGGATGCAATCAGGCTCAGGAAGAAGGCATCTGTCCATAGTTTGACATTCAGAGGACAGTTCTATGCCACAAAAGGCCAGATGGACTGTTATGATAAAGGTGGAGCTAAGCGTGTACTTCCTTAATTGAAGCTGGAGAAACTATTTTGAACAAAATCATGGGTGGGGCTGGACTTGGGATGCAGTTAGGGACTGTCCATCAGCACAGTTCCAGGATATGGAAGTTTCCAAGAGATCTCCTAGTTCAAGCCTACTCTTAAAAACTGAATTTAAGAGTTAGGCTATTTATTTGGGTAATTATAAGGTTGGTATAGTAACACCACACTTAAATGTACTATATGCCAAGGAATCTGTCATATAAAGTATTTACACATTTGTTTCCAATTAGCACCTAGAGAATTTGGGGAAATGTATTAAAATTGAAGTATAAAATTTCTGCTGTAATACAATAGGGAGACAGTGGACAGGGCATTAAAATTACGTGTACTCAATTTACCGTATGATAAGATCAGGTGCTTCTATAGATAGTAAGGACCGGTCTTCCTTGCTAGAGAAGTAGGCAGTGCTACTCATTCTACCAAATGATCACTTGAAACAGCAGCTATTTTGATCCTTACTCATGGATAGGCTAGCATCTTACATATGGTAACTATATGCTTTTGGCATCATTTATGTGTGGAGTAATACCACTACCAAGGAAGCAAAAACATTTTTGAGTATCAAATTGTATCTTAGTTCCATTTTCAGTAGGAAGTTTCCCAAGATAATTCATTGCCTGTTGCCCCCAAAATTTTTATACTAAAGATATTCAACTCATTTGATCATATTTATCTTGGTGGGGTTTGCTCACTGCTCTAAGAAGTATGATTTCAGTCTTGTTTGCAATTCATATTCCTCCTTCTGTGAGGAATAGGCACCAACAAAATGGACAAGGTAGGCAAAAGTACATATAGAAAATTTGGCATAGTCAGAATGACACATGCTTTTAGTCCCAGCACTTGGGAGGCAGAGGCAGGCAGATCTCTGTGTGTTCAAGGCCAGGCTGGTCTACATAGTGATTACCAAGCCAGCAGGGATTACATGGAGACCCTGTCTCAAAAACACCAAAAAAATATTTATTTATGCTAGTGATTGATCCCAGGATTTATAGTGAATAAACACCTGCTCTATGACTGACACCCCACCCCACCAAATCTTGAAAATCTTAATATTTATATATTTCTCCCCAGACAGATTTATTAAGTATTGATGACCAACAAATAAAAACAACTAACAGTTGAAGTTCCAATAAGATACAGATCAAGTGAAAAAAAATCAGTCTAATATAAAAGTTATATTAAAAGAACTGATCTTGATACAAATAATTGCAAAAAAATGAGACCGCAAAAGTTCAGCAGTAATTGCACAATATAGAAAATTGGACAAGGGATATAAATTGCAACTGAGTTGCAAACAACTTAGGAAAAATTCATCAGAGAAAATCTATCAACATGGATAATAATGTTTTATTGATTTAGCGCTCTGATTTGATATTCATATTTATATGCACAGCATCATTTTAAGTGTTCTCGTACTCTGCTGGCACCGTTAACCGTTTGTGATGATTTCATGCAAAGTATTGGACATCTCTTGGGCAGGACTGTAGCACCCAGCAATGTGTGCTGTTGAGTTTTCCAGCTGTCCTCTGGCTGGGTGTTTGCAGTCTTTTAACACACAGTGAGATTGACGTGCCTACCCTCTTCTGTGCTATGAGGCCTTGAAATCTGACAGTAAGGGGTAGGATCGCTGGGCATAGTAATTAAGTGCTGGACATTTAGCTGGCCTGGTGGATTTGTTTTTTAGCCACTTTGTTCTCACTTATGAGACAGGTTGATAAGCCATAGTTATGAAAACGGCCCATATGCAACAAGGCCATTTATTTTAAAATTATAACGGAAGGACTTTGCCATTGTATGAACTAAGTTTGATTTTGCCTTTTAGTCTCCAGCAGAATTGAAAGCACAGAAACTATGTGTAATCTTCACATCTTTATTTTGCAAGAAATGAAATTTAGCATATTCCAGGAGGGTTATGGAAGAAAGTTGAAGTCTCCAAAGCTTCTCAATCTGAAAAGAAGCAAGATAGTACTTGGTGAGTTATTCAAAAAGAAAATCTTTTTCAAAATTTTTGAATTTTCAAAGTTTAAAAAAATGACATTCACTTATCTATTTTTCATTTATTTATTTATTATGTCAGAGTCTCACTATTTAGCCTTGGCTAGCCTGGAACTTACTATATGAACCAGGTTGGCTTCAAACTCACAGAGATCCACCTGCCTCTGCTTCCAAGTGCTGGAACTGAAGGTCTGTATGATCATACCTGGCTAAAATGAAATTTATTTTATAAAATTCCTTTGTTTATTGACAAGACATCAAATCCATATATTATCTAGGATCTCTCAAGCAATTAAATATAGACCGTTCTCATCCTGCACAGTTTTCTTAGTAACTAAAGTTGCCTATGCTATTTATTTTGTTTGTTTATTATTTATCTGGAGAATACACTTACTGAGAACACGACAAGGAAGCAGTGGGCCAGGGAGTAAATGGAGTACTGCTTGCTTGTCTGTGCTTTTAAGATTTATCTTCATATAGATCTGGGGAAAGGACCCACTACCATTTCATGCAAGAGCTCAAGAGCCTCAAAGCCCAGGCCTTGGGACTAAGAGCTGATTTCTTACTATTCTCACATCTAGAGATATATTTACCATTTTGTTCAAGGCTCACAATTTTAGGAAGGAGACAGGAGAGGGATATGTTAGAACACTGAGTTAGATAGAATAGTCTTACTCGAATTTTGCAAGTAAAGTCTCAGAGAGGTTAAGTCTCTTCTCCTAGATTGTAGTGTGTATCAGAATCCAGATCATGGAATTCTTAGAACAGTTATTTTTCTCTGACAAAATCTGCTTATAGTTAATGCACACCCCCACACATACATGCACACACCTAAATGAACATGTACACACAACACACATACACACACACACACACACACACAAAATAGAGACAACCTCATAACACAACCAGATGATGTGAGTTGAAAAAAAATCAGGCAGTGACAAATGTTGCTTATAACAAGGAAAAACTTGAAAGCAGCCTAAACAAATAGCATGGTGTTGGTAAATGGATTGTAGAAGTATATCCATCAAGATAGACAATGTTTAAGACACACAGCTAAGAAAAATAAAGTAAAATCAGGAAGTGTCATTTTGCTTGTTTTCTTAAAGGTGATGTATAAATGAATCCTTAAAGTTTTGAAAACCTATCAAAGAAGGTCTAATAAATTCTGAAAACATATTATGGCCAAAGCTGAAATAAGATTTCAACATTTACTGACTGTAGTGTGACAGAATCGTTGAATTTGATGATTCAAAGGCATGTTGGTGATGTCTAGGCTTAGGTTCTTTGAGGGTCACAGAGGATCAGTACTCATTCAAGTCTACAGAAGGAGTTGGTTTTATGTTTTCACTAGGTCTTAGCTCTGTACCAGTTACAATGCTTAGTACTATACCACTTCTAATTTCCAAGAACAATAACAGACTTTTCTCAAGGGCATTTCCAAATTTTCTACTTTCCAACTTTAAATTTTAACCAATGCATGAAACTGCCTTTCTCAGCAGCATTAAGTTACACAAGATCCAGATAGTGATAGAAAATGTCATTCTTACGGTGTTTCATCACAGTGATGTGTTTATAAGTATTGTTGGCCCGAATCTGGTATGCTATTGTACAACATTCATTGAAAGCTCTGACACAGAGTGGGCCTTTGGTAATCCGGGCAACTCGCTGCTCACAAGTTTCATGGTCATTACGATGGGCTCCATCATAGCAACATTTCTTTAGCACTGGATGTTTGTATTTAGCAGCTGAAATAATAATACACATGCACAGTCATAATACCTCAGGCTTGGGAGAAGTCTCAGGACAAACTTTGTTGCTACCATCAAATGACCCCCTTAGTCACAGTAGGCACTGATAACTGCCCAGGCTTTCCTTGGAGCTACTCTAAGAGCAGAGCAATTGTGACCTTGGTAGGTAAACCATTCCAACTCACACTAAATTGATAAAGGGCTTCCAGCAACTCAACTAAATATCAACTTTTGAAACTGGTCCCTAAGGTTCAGTCCCCATTGAGTAGAATAAGTTAAATATTCAAGAAGCCTTCAAATATTTGAGGATGGCTATCATTACTAAATAGGAATTTCCTTCTAGGAGCTAAATATCCTCCTTTTTATAGACACTTTATAGACCTTCATAGGGACATCATCTTTCTTTGTAAGGGCTCAGCATAATCAGCTTCTTCCTTTTCATGACTATAACACAGAAAGAAGTTAGGACTACAGTAACTCATATGCAGATGGATTATGACTCATTGTAACACTACCGCAATTATATATTATGATAAACATGATTTCTGGCTGAACTCAGATCACAGGCTTAAATCTTTTTACTGTAAGAAGTTCAATGATGAGTAATATAAATGATTCCCATTAGACTCGTTGTGCAAAGGATAATCTGAAATGCTAATAAATGTATAAGATAAAGCAATTGATTTCTAAATATGCCCAAGTGTTAATAAAAATAACAGATATCAGAATAAAATGGAAAACTATTATCCTAATTGGTACATTAAGTTTGTAAAGAAGATATATTTATGAAAAATAAACTAATATTTTAGGGATTTTTTAGATGAAATAATGAAGATTTATTTCTTTAGGTTGAGGATATGGCCCATGAAATATCATATTTATTTGGATTACCTTCTGAGAGAGGTGTAGTAAACCTCCATATACATCATATACATCTTTCTTTTCACTCACTGCATACTAATTAGAAGACATCCCATAATGCTTCATTTTCTCCAGCCTTCGAATGCTATAACCATGCTTTTACAATCACATTAAACTTTTTTAGAGTACCTTCTTCTTCTATCTTGTCTTTCAGACTGCCGGCTGGATTGAGAATTTCTTTTACTTTGTAAGTTTCATCTGTGACAGAGAGAGAGAGTCTTTCTGAGACAGTTTCATGAAAATGTTCTATTTTGCATCTTGTACTCCTGATGTGACACTTAAAAGACATTCGCTCAACACATCTGTATGGAGGGTCTGCTTTGGATTAGGGATTAGGAGCTGTGGCTACATCTGTTACTAGATGTGAAGCTCATCATCTGGCATGGCGTGTAGTTTGATCTGTTTTATCTGAGTTTGGTTTTGAATCCTGCAACCTTCTTGATCCATTGATTATCTAAACATTTAAACTGAACATTTAGTTGGATAATCTTCTTTTCAGCCCTTTGAGCCATATCACTGCAAATATAATTATAAATACTACAGTATCAAATGTAATTAGAATTTTAAAAACAAGAGAAAGTGAATGAGACGTGATCTCTGCCCTTGAAGAGCCTCCAGTGTGGGGAAGAGACAAGATTCATAACTAAGTGTGTGAATTTACAATGTCATACTAAATGCTACTGTTTTATTACTGATAGAGATCTGGTCCCTACAATATCTTCCCTGGTTCCTTGATCAACTTCAGTTGTAATTTACTTATCTTGTTTAGTTCTACTCACCGCATTTCTAATTCTTTTTTTCTAAATTCATAAATCTAGAAATGATCTTAATAAGTCAAGCTCTTTGGGTGACCACATGTCTTCCAGTTCTATCATTAGGAACATGAATTCAACAGGGTAAGCTGGAAGAAGACCCAGCCATTCAAACAGCTACCACTAACTCCCACCTCTCTCCCACTTCCAATCACACCAGCTTGTTGCCTCATCTCCATCTGAGAGTAGTTTGCATTAGTTACATTACTGAAAAGAATTACTGCAAAAACCACTGATTTTTTTATAAGTAAAATTTAAATGGTCAGGGATTACCATGTTCTTTAATTTCAAAGATGGTGGTTCCAGTTGTTGAAGCATCCTCTTTATATTTAGCTTTAATTGTCCACATACCATACCTGTGGAAGCAAAATACTTAAAATTATAGACATTATCAAATAATTTTAGTTTACCAAGAAGAAACCTAATAAATTTGTATTTTGAAGAGATTAGAATTATGTGTGTATGTGTGTGTGTGTGCATCCTAAGTAAAAATTTTATTTTGATGAGATTTTCAATAATAAACAGAAATAGGGGCTAGGGAGTTAAGAGCACTGGCTGTTTTAACAGAATACCTGGGTTCAAAACCTAGCACCCACATAGCGGCTAACAACCATACATAACTCCAGTTCCAGGGGATCTGATGCACTCTCTGTCCTCTGTGGGCCCTGCATGACACATGTACACTTACATACATGCAGGCAATACTCTCATACACATAAAATTAGAATAAAATAAAAAGTAAAATATTTCTAAAAACCAATAAACAGAAATAATTGAGCATTTCCAAGATAGTAGAAATTGCTTAATAGTTTTTCATATTGTGTTCTTTTTCTAAATATTCTCCTACTACAGTCATTAGCTTTGAAGAACTAAAAATTTCAGAATCTACTTACTCCTGTAACTTAATAGCCCTAATATAATGTCAAAACACAATATAGCAAAAATCGGTAATAATGTCTCTGGAACATGTAGATGTAGGTGATGATATTCGTACCTCTGTAAGTGAAATTGTGTTTAGATAAAAGTATGGTTTCTTTAAAGAAGAAAATAAAATGTGTAGCAACCTTCATTCATCCAAGAACTAACTGGGCCTGACACTGCTTAGCTTCCAAGATCAGGTGTGTTCAGAGTAGGTTAACCAGGATCCAGTGGATGGACCCACACCAAAGGGTATTTGGGGGGCACAAATTTAGCCCTATAGGCCTTAATATATATAATGGAGTACATGAAATTGGACGGGGGTTGGTAAGGGGGGTACAGAAAGGGGAAGGGATCTAAATATGATCAAAATATATTGTATGAAAATTACAAAAATTCAAAATAAAAAGAAAAAATACTCATCACTGTGTTGAGATAAAAATGAACAATATACAATAAGATGTGGTGGCATATGCCTTTAATCCCAGTACTTGGGAGGCAGAGGCAGGCAGACCTCTGTGAGATCAAGGCTAACCTGGTCTACATAGCAGAGTTCCAGGCCAGCTGGAGACCCTGTCTCATAAAACTGAAAAAGAAGAAGAGGAAGAGGGGGAGGAGGAAGAGGAGGAGGAGGAGGAAGAGGAGGAGAAAAGAGCTACCGTCTTCAGACAGCTAATAGTCCATGCCAGTTCAGATTTTCTTTCTTTTAGTCACTAGGATGTTTGATTCAGGAAAATCACTTCATCTCATTTGTGAAATGAGAAAAATAAAACCTACCTTGCAGGTTATATGGTCAGTGGATGTTAATATTACGGTTTTGTGGCTATTATCATCATTGGTTCAGTGAGTATTTACCAAGTATTTATAATGTTGAAGTGCTGAGATACAAGGAATAACAAAGACAGGGCCCTGTGCTCAAGGGGTCTACAGTCTAGTGGGCAATAAAAAGGCAAGTAAATAACTAAGACATTGAAATTAGAAGAAAATACACAAGATGTGGAGCTAGAGCATTAAAAGGATATTATGTCCAGGAACGCTGTCTTTGTATAGGCATCATCTCCTCCTATCCTAGTGACTAGACATTATTAGCTTCAAGAGGTGTGAAGTGGAGCACTTTCTAAGCAGAAGGGAGCACAGAGGCAAAGGTGCTAAGGTGGTTGGTGGTGATCATGATAGATTCCAGTAATATATAAAACCTGTCAAGGGGCAGAGGACACACGGTGAAGTTTGAGAAATGCTAATCATAGACTCAATCAGTACTAGCATTTTTAAGAAAGCATATCATTTAAAATAACCCAGATTTATTTCAATCTTCCTATTTCAATGCATTTTTTTTTGTCTTTTTGAGACAGGGTCTCCCTGTAGCCCTAGCTGGCCTGGATTCACTATGGAGACCAGGCTGGCCTCAAACTCACAGAGATCCGCCCGCCTCTGCCTCCCGAGTGCTGAGATTAAAGGTGTGCACCACCACGCCTGGCTTCAATCCATTTTATAAAGAAGAATGTTTGCAGGATGTATTGAGCAAACTTATTCATAGAGGACAAAAGGAAAATGACTATAAGATGATTGTGCTTAAAAGTTATATTGTTGGGGTTGGAGAGATGGCCCAGTGGTTAAGAGCACTGGCTGCTCTTGCAGAGGACCCAGGTTCAATTCCCAGCACTCACATGGCAGCTAACAACCATCTGTAACTCCAGTTCCAGGGGATCTAATGCTCTCTTCTAACCTCTGGCGGCTTTTCTTGACATGGGTGTACTTACATATATGCAGGCAATACACTCATACACATAAAAATAATAAAATATTTTTAAAGTTATATTGTCGCTTTCTACAGCTGCCCTTGTTTATACATCCTGCTTTGTGTTCCTTGACAACAGAGATCATGAATTCTTCATTTTCATATGGAAACTCATACTCCTATTGTGATTTACATATACCAGGAATATGTTCAGTAAATATGCATTACATGTCCTGGTCAGAAGTTCTTAAATCCATGCATGAAGGTCAAGTAGAAGAGAAGGCCTAAAATGCTCACAATGTGCACACACACACACACACACACACACACACACACACACGCATGCACGCACGCATGCATGCGTGCACGCACGCATGCACGTACATGCTCTTTGAGCTCTCACTTCTCATGGTCTATATAGAGAAAACATAAAACCATCTAGGACATCTAGGACAAGGAATGGGAAAACACCCATGGGAGGTTAGCCTCTTCCCCACTTCCTCTCTCTATGATATTGGGAACTGAACTTAAGGCTTTGTACCTTTTGGGCAAAATTCTCTTCCAATAAGCTGTAACCCAAACCCCCACCTGCATTTTAAACACACGGCCTGATTCCTTCAGAGGCAGACATTGATGGTTGTGTTGAAAACAAACAAAACAAAAGCAAAGGAGTATTTTTAAATGCTTGTGGGTCCTTGGACAGGTCTCCTATATTAAACTTCACCTACCCAGGGCTCAGGGACCATTGTGGAAGGGGAGGCAGAAAGATTGTAAAAGCCAGGGCAGGAGGTACATAACCATATCAAAATAGAGTCTTACAGGCTCCTGGGACTTTGTTCATATGAACCCACAGCAATGGTGTCAGCATACACAAGACCCATGCAAACCCAAGCAGACAAAAACCCAGCATAGAACAATCTTAGCCAAAGAGCTATAGGCAGCTGATTACTGCTGGGTGAGGAACAGCTGTTCTTAAAGGAGGGATTCTAGATTGGTTGACTAGATCTCAGTGGATAAACTTGCACTGAGGGACATTTGAGGACACTAAATTGACTTGATCTTAACATCAATGACAGAATGCATGCTATCCAGTGGGGGGGGGCGAAATCTATGGGAGGGCACCAGTGGGGAAGGGGGTATAAAGATGATTAGGATGCTTTGTGTGAAATACACATAAAAAAGTTTGGCTTTTCCAAATTTATATATTTATTTATATACATATTCATGTATATATTTAAATGTGTGAGAAGTTTGGGGAATTTTTTTCTTTATGTATGTATGTATGCATTCCTCTATTTATTTATTATTTGTTTACTTAAACAGGGTTTCATTATGTTGTCTACTCCCTGGATTCCTGCATCTTTCTTCAGCCTTGAGTAACTGGGCCTGCTGACATACTGTTTAACATGCTGGTGTTCTAAATCTTCTAAGATTTAAGCCTAACTTCTGACGGCTCTTTGAAAGCTTGTGCATATCCACATCCGTGCTAGCCATCGTTCCGCAGTAGGTGCTCCACTGGACTGCTTATCTGCTTCACAACTAAGAGTTTGCGGCATGCTTTCAGAGAAAACATTATTAACGAATACTTTACATACTTAGGATTAGAAGGAATCTTGAAGTCATCAAAAGAGACAATTCCAGTATGATTGTTTCCTTGTACTATGTCAACGTCTGATCCTTCTGGGTCCTTTGAAAAAAAAGCAAACACCCTTGTCTTAATGCATTTTCTATGGCTAGAGAGAATATATGAGATTAGGCAAATTTTAAAGCATAGAGATTTATTTTGGCCCAGAGTTCTGGAGGCTGGAAAGTGGAAGATTACTGATGAGGGGAGGGGAGGGGAGTTGTCCTGCTTCAACTTACTGAGGAAAAGTAGAAAGGCAAGCAAGTTCATATGAATGAGTTTATTTTTATGACAGGCTGTTCCAAGAGAACTCTCTCCCACCAGAACAGCTCTGATTCATCTCTAAGTGTAGAGCTCTCAGGACCTAAACTCTTCCCACTGAGCCCCACCTTTCATAGTGACATATTGGAAATCGATTTCAACATGTGAATTTAGGGGGTCACATGCAAACCAAAGTGACCCTCAAAATACAAAATCACATTTACTTTTTAACTAATTGTAATAATATTTGATCTACAAAAGTATTTGCCAACAAACATCCATCTCTACCTATGAGAGATAAGATTTTCAGTTCAGTGTTAATAGAATGCAGATAAGGTTGTTTAAAGCCACTTTCCCCATCCTGTGGCACCTCTCCCAATCTGTCCTCATTATCTAGAAAAGGCTCCACTTTCTTTTGTACAATTAAAAGAAGTGCCACAAACAGTAAAAAAATAGCCCTGAGTTTGTAATACTCTAAATATGTACTTAACCAGCTTTATAAATACCAAATCTCACTCTGAATATGTCTCTTTGGAGTTTCCCAGTGTAAATGTTCTATAAGCTGTATTTCTAGCTAGCCATCTGATAAATATGTGATGGAACATATTGAGCTTGATACAACCCTCAATTTGGCTAAAGAATCTTGAATGTTTTCATAAAGCTTCCCCAGATGTGTCATCTTGTGTTTGGTTTTTAGCAAGTTATTGAGATGAGGTTTTGACTTTCTTTGAACTATGCGTAGAGGTCCAGTTCAGCCTTAAGTTAAAAACAGCACTGCTTGTCATGACAAAATGTATGCCTGGAATTTTTCAGATACTGTTTTCTTGAATTAGAAATCACAGAGCTCACAAACGCCTACTCAGAACAAGAATGACACCCTTAGCTAAGTATCTTCAGGGCTACAAAGCCAGAGTCTGCTGCTGTTCTTTGGGAGCCGTTCACTTAGTTTTCTGTGATGGCTTTTGTTTGTGTGTGTGTCTGTTTGTTTTAGACAGAGTCTCTCACTGACCTGGAACTTAACAAGTAGGCTAGGCTGGCTGGCCGGCCACGGAGCCGGAGGGATCCATCAGTCTCCACTTCCCCAGCTCTAGGATCACAAGTCCACCATGCTTGGCTTTTTCCTTTTTCCTTCATGTGGATTCTAGGGAGTGAACGCATGTCCTCATGCTTGCAAAGCAAGCCCTTTACTACCTCTGCAGCCTTTCATGCTGCTTCTTACATAGGATGGTCTTTTTTAAAAAATATTTTATTTATTATTTTTTATTTTTTATGTGTATGAGGGTATTGCCTGTGTATGAGTCGCTTTTCTGTTGCTGTGATAGAAACACTGACCCAAGGAATTTAGAGAAAGAAGAGTTTATTTGAGCTTATGGTTCTTGGGGAATTACACCATCATGGCAGGGAGGCATGGTGGCCAGAGGTGGCTGGAGCAGGAGCAGCAGAAGCTAAGTTCTCACATCATCACACAGGAAGCAAGCGAGTGACTGGAGATCTGGTAAGGCTTAAGAACTCTCTAAGCCCACCCCCAGTGATGTGCTTCCTCCAGGATAGCCACACCTTCTAAAACCTCCCAAAACAGTGCCATCATCTGGGGACAAAATGTCCAAATATTTGGAGCCTATGGAGGACATTTTCATTCAAACTATCACAGCCTGCATGGATATAAGTGCACCTATGTCGTGCAATGCCCACAGAGGTCAGAAGAAAGTGTCAGATCCCCTGAAACTGGAGCTATGGATGGTCGTTAGCTGCCATGTAGGTGCTGGGAACTGAACCTGGGTCCTTGGCAAGAGCAGCCAGTATGCTTAACCTCTGAGCCATCTCTCCGACCCCCATAGGTGGTCTTCGTTGTTTTAAAAGAACCTATGCCAGCTCCTTTGATTAGGACTCAGTTCCAAGTTTGCTTCATCCATTCCGTTCCAGAGAAGGGTTATATTACACCACCCATACTTTCACTCTTATGTCTTCTTCTCTTTGAGCTCTGTTTCAATTATATCAGTACAGAATTTGTCTGGTAAATATTCTAGTATGGTTTTTTTTTTCTAGTGTGAACTCTTATATATGAATTCTGAGTTTGTCTGAGTAGCAACAAATGTGCCACAAGTGAGCAGCTATGAGAAATTAAGGTGTTTATTTTCCTACAAGTGTCTTGAGTATGTTATACCATGGGAGTCTAGTACAAACTTACAATTTGGTTAGATCTTGGAAGTTTATTTTACATACTCTCCTAAATGTGTCCCATGTGATAAGTGGTTAATAACTGCTAACTTCATGCTTTAACAAAATTTCCCACATGTGTTAGTGTGTCGACTATTAAACTCTAAGCCTCACAAAAGTAAGCATTGTGGCTTATCACTCCGGAACATACCTCAACATAATTAAAGCTATATGCAACAAACCCACAGCCAACACCATTCTAAATGGAGAAAAACTAGAAGCATTTCCACTAAAATCAGGAACCAGGGGCTGGAGAGATGGCTCAGAGGTTAAGAGCATTGGTTGTTCTTTTGGAAGACCCAGGTTCGAATCCCAGCACTCACATATTAACAAATAAAATTTCCTTCCATTTTGAGAATTCTTTTCCTTGGGATACTAAACAATGCTTATTCCCTTTTAAGGTTCAAGTGTCAAACCAATGTTTAATTAAAGTTTTATTGGGGAACCAATGAATTTACTGAGCTTGCTTACAAGATAACTGAGGGGTTGCTGAGGTGTATGTATGACCTGAGAGTACGCACACTGGGAAGTCTTTACTCAGCATGGGTCAAGCATTCTTGCCCTAGCTTTCCCCATATTGTATACTTTAGCCCTCCCCAAATCTAGGAGACCATGTTTGATTAGGGCCAAATTACATACAGTTGGTTGGGAAGAGTAGCTGGACACTCTGGTGAGGGTCCAAGAATTGTACTTTAACAATAAATCACTAAGGATATACTTAAATGGTTGGGTTTAAGAGCCCTTCAAATTGAAGAGATGTAATTCTTATGATCCTTACAGATTATA